GTAATAGGACAAGCTATCATCATATGAGCATTTGAAATAGTACCCTGCGCTGAAGGCTATGTGTTTTTGATATTTTGCCATTTTTTGAGAAATTTTGTCATCACAGGGCTCCAAAACCGATTCAAAATCACCGTAGATGATGAATTCGGCCTTTTGTTTATATATATGATTTTTGAAAACAACTGCATCGTATTTGGGGAAAGAAATTTTGCATTCGTTGACATTTTCGCATACAACACTGTGATCTGCCAATTTGGATTCGCTCGAAAAATAATTTAGACACCTATCGCAGAAATGTTTCTTGTGATCATGTTTATTGAGTTGTGAAGATAGCAATCTGGATATGTCCTTTATCCAACAATAATGATACTTTATGTCTTCGTTGTAATCATCTTCAGGCAAGGCATCATGGTCGTTGGGCTTGGGGAAATATTCACTTTGAATGAGAAGTAGATTGACATGTCTGGGCTGCTTATGTTTCGTGAGTTTTATGGGTACTACTTCAAAATACTCCGTCTGTTTACCATGAGTCAGTTCCAAGGCGTAAACGTTCACCGAGATATCATTAAGTTTTTCAAATTTAGGAATTTCGTTGATAGTGACAGGTGTTTTCAAGCCTGCGGTATTCAAAACTTGGCTGTAATGAGGATACGAGCTGGGCCTGTCTACATGTTGGTTAGCAGGATATAGAGCGCTCACGATACTCCAGAAGAAACATGCCTCACCAGTGTTTTTCACATTGATGCAGGCTTGCTTTTTCAAAATCTTCTCTGGCAGCTTGATATAGGATGAACCATTGCCAATCTCTAATTTATTAACATTTATCTCTAGAGAAACAATTTTCCTCAAGGCCCAGCCACTACCCTTCTCCTGGAATTCCGAAAGTTTATTAACTATAGTATCAATCACATTTTCCGCAAACCAACATTCTAAATCCGTTCCCTCATCCATTGGAGCATTCTTTGTACTGAAATATTTGAATTCAATAATCTCCGCATCAATCGATTTCTTGATAAACTCGCCACAGAAGGTGGTGTTGACTTTCAACATGGTTATTTTCCTCAAAGTTTTTCTAATTTGAATTTTGAAAATGTGCGATGCATCCTGCAAAAATTGCATCAACTCCTTATGACATAAATTGATTATGACACCCGTTCTAATTCTACTCGCGAAAACAGATTGAACATTCCTCCATATTATTCTATTTTTACGTTTACCAAGTCCTGTCCCAATATGATTCTTCTTCCTAATCAAACTCTGGAAACGTTGTAAATGCCCTACATTTGTTTGTAATTTTCTTAAAACCCCTGCTGTCGAATTTGCCTCTCTGATTGCCCTATTACATTCTCTTATATGCGTCCTTATTTGCCTTATCCATAATAATCTTTCGTCTGCTGATATGTTCTTCTTCTTTCCCAAAATTTCCTCCGCTCTTTTACATTTCTCAACTATATCATCACTAGTAGAAGCTATACTATTAACATTCATGATGCGAGAAATATCAAACAGAAAATAATATTTTACCCCTACCACTGTATTTCAATATCTTCAAAGAGGGCTGCGGGTCTGGTCTCGCTCCCTTCGTGAATGAGGCTGTATTTGCCTGGAGTGACAACTGGAAGCTGAGACTTGAAAGTGGCAACCACCCTCCTCGACAGAAAGACGTTAGATGTTTCAAGTTCTACCACAATAGCGTCTGGACCACTCTGATATTTTCAATGGGGTGAAGCTGGTCGATGGGCAAGGTACTTAGAGCAACAGTTGTCTTAACGGCAGCAACTCGATTGTTGATAGCTGAAACATCCATCTGATGAGAAACTTACTACTTCTAGTATTGGGTGGAATGATCACTAGTCACAAATAGGGTCGAACACATGGCCTTGAAACGTAATAAATAAAGAACTCACCTTTTAGAATAAGCTGGCACAACCCACACACAATAAAACAGACAGAAGCAACCGAACAAACAGGAGCAACCAAACAGACAGTAATGTCCGAAGAGACGGGAGCGGAGCAGATCGACTGACCAGTGTCAGAGTTTAGAATGGAATGACGCCTCCGAACGCTCTGACCGCCTTATATAGGGTTTGAGGTTGTGACGTCATCGGCCAGCAAATAACAAATGGGATTTCAAGATTGATCCTGTCTGATAGAGAGAACAAAGGAGGCATTGTTGGATGACTCATCGACCACCTGCGTCGTAACAATGGATGGATGATGTAATCGGACGACGTTGTTACGTAATCGGCCACCTGCAAACAAAGGAGACATTGTTCTTGTCGCAAACTTCTCAATAGCCGACTCGACGAAATTCCAAGAAACGCTGACAGTGCGTGGTGACAGGACGTAGATACAGGTATTGTTCAAGAATGTTTGGTGTCCCAGCGATAACAAAGGAGGCATTTCTCTCAGACAGATAAGAATGATGTAATCGGCCATCTGCGTTGGAATAAAAGAGGTATTGTTTGCTTGGCATCGCAAATCGCTGAAGGACAATTGCTGACTCGACGAAAATGCTGAAATCCAGTGGCGTATCATGATCCTGTGTCACGAAGGGTCAGTGTTTTGGGTCAAGAGTCCAAAGTCTGGAGTTCTTAGTGAAGACTGTTGGGACCATGAGAAAACACACCCAACTTGAGACCAATATGAGACCAAGGTCATGAGACCAATATAAGGCTAACGTCATGAATCGAAAGACGTTGGCCGAGGGTTACGAAGGAGATATAGGCCACAGGTCAAGATCGAAGGTCTAAAGTCATGATCAGACGTCAAAGGTCACAAGGAGGTTAAAGGTCATGATCAGAGGACAGGGGTTGCGATCCGAGGTCGAAGGTCACGATCAAAGGCCATGGTCGGAGGCGCCACGGTCAAATGTCGAAGGTCACGATCCAAGGTCGAAGGTCACGATTAGATGTCAAAGGTCACGGTTTAAGGTCACGATTAGAAGTCGGGGGGTCGTGATCCAAGGTCGAAGGCCACGATCAAATGCCACGGTTGAATGTCAAAGGTCATGATTCAAGGTCAAAGGTCACGATTGAAGGCCACGGTCGAATGTCGAAGGTCACGATTCAAGGTCAAAGGTCACGATTTAAGGTCGAAGGTCACGATCATATGTCACGATCAAAGGTGATTTGTCACTTGCCATTTTTGACACTTGTCGTTGTTGACACCCGTCGGCATGATCTAAGGAAGGTCAGGTTAGATGTCAATAGCTATAGCCAACCATATTGCTATCTCTGTCGGACTCACTATCCGGCCCATGCTCTCTGTCTAACACATTGATTTCCCTATGTGGTCCCGTACCGGCCTAGCACTACTACTTACCACCAATGCCGTGCCATAACATGTATGCAATGCAACAAATATTGACAAATAATCCGTGTGGTGAGAACATTCTATACCTGCATCAACAGCAGGTTCATTCAATTTTCAAGGATGTTCGAATTGTAGTTTCAATATAAATATAAGCACAGAGTGACATATTTGTGTATGGACCAGGTGCTCTAAAGGCAAATACCGCGCCAGTGCCAGCTATAGGAACATCAAGACGTGGAAAATGTTAGGCTAGTGAGCATATAGCAACAGTAATAATAGCGATTATTTATTCCTCCCCATGATACAATGTTTTTCGCTTAATAAACAAATGAAGGTAAACAATATCGTTGTCTGAGACAAAAAACTATTGCTTGCCGTGATTATTCAAAAACAAGTCATCCTTCCCGAGAGTGAAATACAGATCCAGCAAGTATTTGAATCTTGAAGGCTTCCCTGATCAAAACAAAAATACTGATGTTTATGATTCCAATACCCAACTATGATAAGGTGTATTTATATCTCCAGCATGGGTATGAATTGCCAAATCTGCCGAAATCGGAAACAAATCAGGTATGCGTCTCAACCCAAATAACCAACCGTCACAATGTTGTTTATTCTTGATGACGACTAGTAGATCCTCTTTAGTTCCTAGGAGCTAAAGTTCAACTTAAGCTCCTAGGAAATAAAATTCAACTTTAGCTCCTAGGAACTCAATATGTTGCCTAGCAACATACCTATTTTTGTATCAGTAATAGAAACGTCAATTTAGGAGCTAATTTTGGTATCAAATTGGACAACTTTTGTGTCGGTTGCAGAAAAATATTTTTATTTTCAATCTTGTGCCACCTCATCATTGGAACCTCTAGACTCGAGTTGATTGGTGAAAAAGGGATGTATGCAGAAACACCAAATACATTCAGTCTCACTTATTTTTTCCAAATCCGTGAATGAGATTTCAAAATCATCAATTTTTTTCAAGGGCGGCCCTGGAATGAGACTTTCTTTTTATTATGTCAATTTTCATCACTGTGGAAAATTGATATACAAATAAAATATCAAAAAACTTCATAGGGTGGTACAAAACTTATGAATATATGAAAACATGATAGAAATCGATGAATAATCCTGTATCTTGATCATAAAGCATGATAGACCCATGGAATATGGATTATTCATGAGCACCTCAGTGTCCTTCATCTATCCTTACTGTATGCGCATTTCCCATTGAATCAGCCTGTATATCTCAGCTATGAGAAGTGCTATCTTTACCAGAAGACTAACATGTATTTCCAAAACGAAGATGTAGAACTACATAAGTTTGTATGCGCAAAATCTGTCGAGTGGCTTTGAAGTTATGATGAGGAAACAAGTAATTGCCCAACACTTCGATACCCGCCGTAGTGTTAGGTCTATTAGGAAAGATTTTTTAAAATAGTCATTTCATGAAGGACTACTTTTTTATCATTCTATCGCTTAGAAAAATCAATGAACCTCACCTGGCCTACCTTGTATAGTAACCAGATGAAACTGATCACTAGAGACAGAGATCAAATCATTGGAAAAAGATATGAGTATATTCAACAGCTATGTATCATATCCAGAAACATGAATACAATTCTACCCTTCAGTTTGATTCTTTTGGCTAACACAAAATTCTCATGTCTTTATAAATCCTGATAAATTACCTCAGATCGGTGACCCCTGAGATTGTAATTCGTACGTAAGGGATATTCGACGTTTTTCTTGCAGTGACTCGTCGTAAAAGTGACTCCAACTATCCCTCTGACGTTGCTCGTAGCCAACCATCCCTCTTGATAATAATTCGTCCTGTTCAACTTCCATCCTTCATCCTTGAAACCAGAGAAACTTTGATAAGTATTTCAATTATTCCATGTTATCGTCATACATAATTAGACTTTCAATTACCAATACTATCCCATCAATATTGAATACAACATATTTCATGAGACTCTAGACTAAGTATATCCCTAATAGCACACAACGTCCTAGGGACGTCCCTATTTGGTACCACCAAAAATAGGTGTCCTTGGGACGTCCCATCCCGTACATCTCATGCAATGTCCGTGCAAAAGGACGTCCACGGAATGTCCCAGCTGGTACATCATTTCGAATGTCCTAGGAATAGCATCCCTCGGACGTCCCACGTGGTACATATTGTAGAATGTCCATGCAAGGACGTCCTTGGGATGTCCCTGATGGGATATGATTTTGAACGTTTTTTCAGGGACATCTTTCGGATGTCCCGAGTAGTACATATTATGGCATGTCTTCAGATCTTATATAATGTATAATGTTCTAGACAACCATGAAATGTCCCTGATGGTACATTCCTTCAAATATCTAATGTTCGACGTGGCATATAGCCAGGAAAGTAGTTGTTTTCTGTTGAATATTCAGAATGATATTATGTGTATATCTTTATATGAAGAATAACGCAAATTCTCTTCTTCAGAAGATTCTGTTTTCGAATTTTTATCGTGTATGTTCAATAGATGTAATTCAATGCTCCTCGTAGCATATAGCTAGGAAAATAGTAGTTTTCTGTCGAATAAACCGAAAAACAATTATTGATATTTTCATCATATAGAGAATGCGAATTCTCTATACATATATACAGGGTGTTCCTAAACATCATGTACATCCGAAAGGAGGTAATTCCTCAGACCATTTTAAGACTAAAAGTTCATATAAACTCAGGTCCGAAAACGCTTCGTTACCGATCTACGGGGTGTTGAAATTTCAATTTTTTTTTTTGTTTTTCTTTATAGATTCTGCAGTTTTTGAGATATGTGGCTCAAATTTGAAACATAAATTACGTTATGGGGCTTACATCGATGGACAACTCAAATGTTTGTGAGAATCTACAGGGTGATATTTTTTTATGGGTCATGCCCCCTTTTCTCCCCCTGAACTTTTTTGCGGTGCGCTGTTGGTAAATTCTAAGGTACAAATTGAATTTTTTGGTTTGTTTACAAACTTTTTTGTATCCTGTAGTTTTTTCGTATCTAAGACCGTTATCGAGAAAAAAAAAATTGAAATTTTTTTGTAATTCGCTAAAATTATTTTGTTCGCCGCTGTTTGCTAAAGGCTTTTTTTTGCAATAACGATTTATTATACAAAACATCCAAATAAAAGACATAACAAGGAAATAACGTTATAACAATTGTTGAAAGTGACCTCCTCCAATCCTTATACATGCGTCCGCTCTTCTTCTCATTGATGCCCGTACTCTGCCAAACACCCCCGGAGTATTTCTTACAGTTTCAAATGCATTTAATATTCGATTTCGTAAGTCATCGATGGTATTTATTGGTGTTGTATACACGAGAGATTTGAGATGCCCCCATAGAAAAAAATCTAGGCTATTTAAATCAGGGGACCTAGGGGGCCATAACTGAGGTCCACCCCGTCCTATCCACTTGTCCCCAAACACTTCATTTAAATATTGCCGAGCCAAAACAGAAAAATGTGCTGGTGCGCCATCGTGCATATACCACATTTGATGTCTGAGCAAAAGAGGTAAGCCTTCAAGTAATAAAGGTAATTCGTATTGCAAAAAATGCCTGTATGAGTTTCCAGTAAGCCGACCAGGCAAAAAGAAAGGACCAATCAAATGATCCCCAACTATACCACCCCATACATTCAATGAGAACTGCTCTTGAAAATGAGTTTCGACAATTCCATGTGGATTTTCTTCGGCCCATATGTGGTTGTTATGAAAATTTATAATTTGATTCCTGAAGTGTCGATCTTTTTTTGTCTGAAAGATGCGTTTGTAGAAAAAATAATGTGTGTATTTCAAGCACAAAGTGTCATTGTTGCTCTCCAAAGATTACCGCGCTCCGCTTCGCGTTGCACGGTAACTCTCTTTGTCGAGCGACAATCAATTACTTTGCGCTCGAAATACACAAATTGCTATTTCCATTTTTTCTCGACAACGGTTTTAGATACGGAAAAACTACAAGACACAAACAAGTTTGTAAATGAATGAAAAAATTCATTTTGTATATTGTCAAGAAGTACAAATGTCTATGAAATAACATCACTCAAACTTTCGTTTATTTCTAGATCTTCATTCATAAATTAACTTTTCCAAATTAAAACATCTTGTACAACGTTTCGATCAGGTCAAAGCGGAGTTCATAGACTCTAGTTCCGGTAAAATTTGCATGAAACCGCTTAGCTTGCGATGCGGGCCAAGCTAAGCCCGGTATCGAGCATTGCCATTGCGGAAAATTGCAATGTTAGCATCGATTCCAAATATAAATAGATTCCGGATCGATAGGCCATTCATTACTGATCATTACTGATTATTGATTCTTTACTGAATTCATTACTGATTATTGATCACCCATTTCTGATTACTGAATTCATTACGATCATGCATTTCGATAACACTTTACTTTACTCCGTAATTGAGTTATTAATTCACGAGTTGCTGCCAAAAAGTGTACCGTCTTCCCGACTTTGATCCTGCTGGCCAACCCCATGTTAGATGTCATAATGTAAGTACTGTTTTTTTCCCAATGTTGTTTTGCGTTGATCTTTTTTTTCCTTTTTGTTAACCTGCCATGTGGCAGCATCTATTCATAAAACTCTTCATTCAATTAATAAATGTTACTTTTCTATGAAAAACTGTCCGGTCTCTTTATTTGGGGGTGAATAGGGTTGGATGGTGAAATGATCAAAATCCTCTCATTAAGCCAAGCGAGTAGCCAAGTTGCGATCCATAGGAGGGCAACATCTGAGTTGCGACATGTGGTGGACACGCCGTTTGCCAAATAACCTACCAAAACCATCTGAGTTGCGACACGTGGTGGAGGCGCCTTGCTCCTTCCCACAGATTAACTCTCCATAGTTAATCTATTAAGTTCGTTCTGATTTGTGATCAATTTTCGTTATTTCAGTCAATTTTGTGTTTTATAAAACAATTTCACCCATCCAACCACCATTCATTTCAAAATATGAAGTTCTCGTAAATTCAATGATCTATTTCAATAATTACTTTTTCAATACCTGCTTTCAATTTACTTTCAACTCAACTTGTTTCTTATTATCAGTCCATAGATTCTCTTGAATTTTCTGAATAAATTATTTTCTTTTTTTCATCCACTGATGCATAACTTGAAAGGCAAAATAATAATGATATAATTCATACAACCATGCACCATTGTTTATATAAATTCTGGGAAATTTTGGTATTTTGGTATAATAAGTGATTTAGAAAAATATTCTCTGGTGATATTTTGTGTATTTCATTTCATTTTACGGGGTGTGATTCTACGAAGTTTCTGGGAAACATTAAATATTTTAATTTTGGTTTTAGATAAGTAAGTTATATAAAGCAATTTTTCTTATTAAGTGGGGTATTTGAGAAACTCATTCGATTTTCATGCAGAGATACAGAGCGTTCAGTTTCAGCAATCCATTCATTAGTATAGGTGATATATCATATATGATTTTTTCAAATATCATATCATATTACGTTAAGAATTTTTCTCAACCAAAATGGAGCACAACCTGATTTTTTTCTCTCGTTTTATTGGTATATATATTATAAGTTGTTTGCGCACTATCAACCCTTATTAACAGAGCATCCAAGTGTACCTAATTATTCAGATTCTTTACTTTTTTCAAAGATACAGGGCGTCCTTGACAATATTCAGTAATGAACATGTATAAATTCAACTCTTTATTTTCAATTTTGACATTTTAATTTATCTATTTTCTCTCCCCACGTCACAATTCTTGAGTTATGAATGATTATGCCCAATACCTGTCTTACTTCAGCTTGGAAATATATCATTGATATTGTCTAATCGTGAAGAATACCTGTATCGCCAGTACCAGCTTCTAAGCGATTACCAATAACATATTTTGAGAATTGTGTACAATTAGAGCCACCCTGAATCAAACCTACACCTGATTGGAGGATAACTGTCCACTTTCAGCTCACTCTGATTTGTAATCATACAGTTAGCACGATACTCAGTCATAGATTTTCTATTCACTTTCCCTAAAATTTCTTTGAATGGCTCGTAATAATCCAAGTCGTCGAAAATATTCATGGACTAAGGCAAGAAAAATAAAACTTTACTTGGAAAAAAACCAAAAATCACGTTTATTTCAAACTTTTAAATCTAACTATACCTACATTCTACGCCACTGAACAAATGCCAGTACGCCCTGTAAACCCCACAGTTCAACTAACCCGTGAAGAAATAGCACAGCAAAAATTGAGAAGATTATTTCGTGAATTTTGAAGTTAAAAATAGGTACATTAGGAAAAACAGGTTGAGAAATATCTGACAAACGTGAAGGCTCAGTAATTTTCATTTATAACTTTTGATTTTTGATTTTCAGAATTCGGATTCAATTCCGAACAATGTTTTGTAATCACTCATAATCTTGATAGAGTTTTTTCTTTTTCAAAATATTGACTAGCGAGTTCTCAGTATTCCTTTAGTATTAGTATATTTTCAGAATTCAAGATAAGATTTTTTTGTTGGGCAATGAATTAGTGCCTTTAAGAATAATTTTTCCAGCTCGTAGGGAAAAGGGCCGTAGTATCACATGTTTGCTAACAAATTTTACTAGTTGATATTATGTTAAGTTAACATTTTAGTGAATGCTTTATTCAAAAAATCATTTTTTTTTTTCGTTTGAGGCACAACACATAGGTAACATCAGGTTTTAATAACGATCTATAATATAATCTTACATTGGAAAATCATTTCAGGTGTTTTTTTCAATACTTTTTTGCTTCAATGATGCTATTTACTGAATTTCCTACAAAAAGTGCTTTCAATTCTTATTATTAAACTATATA